CAGCCTTCATGGTGATTAGGAGACAGCCTGTGAATCAGCTCCTCTAAAGGGCAAGGGGCGGGGACATCTGAAGCCGAAGCGAGCTCAGGATCCATCACTTGGTAACACCACCCAACCCAGCGGGCTCTTTACCTCCACGTTAAATAGGAACGTAATTAAATAATGCTAAGAATAATGCCGGGGCTGCTATGCTGGGAAGAATGTGTGGCAGATGAGGAGGTGGTGCCCTTGACCTCATGCACTGGGAGAATGGGGGGGGGGGGTGGTTTCGTAAATGTGGAAGCCACCCAGTGAGCAAAGTGTGGAGGGGCACAGAGGAGGGACGCGGCTCCCCTTCCGGGACAAGGCAGCTGGAGACCGAGGCCAGCACAGCAGAGCGGAGGGGTCAAGCGCAGTCAAGGATTCAAGGACAGACAGGCCTGAAGGCAGGTCCCAGTTTCTCCACGTCCCACCTGTGTGATCGCAGGGAAAGACACGGCTCTTCACCCCTAAGAGGGAAGAGCCCCTGTACCTATGTCACGGGGCGAACGTTGTGCGTTAATAACCACACAGCTGAGCTTCAGAAAAAACTTCAATTAAAGTAATGTGTGCAACCGCGAACTCTATTCAATATCTTGTAATAACCTCTACTGAAAAATAATCTGAAAAAATATATGTATCTATATAACCAAATCACCTTGCTGTGCACCTGAAGGGAACACAATACTGTAAATCAACTCTACTTCAATAAAAGTAAATGAACGAATAACACGTGTAGGACCTTTCTCTCCGTGCCCAGCACTGAGGAAGAGTTCAACAGGTGGCTGATAATCTCTGTGACGACATAGATACCCCCTCTGGACTTCCGCGTCTGATCCCTGATGGCACCGAGGCAAGGACTTCATTACTCAGAGCCTTGCTTCCTACACACAGAACGGGAGTGATCACCTCTGACCCCAATCCTACCTACGTCTTTATTCTCCCAGAGGGTGAAGACACATAGGGCAGTGTCAGCAAACAGATGTCACTGAACGTCAGCCTGAACAATGAGGGAGCTCCTGCCGTTGGAAACAACAGAGATGACACGATGGACACTGTGACGTTACTGAGGACATTCTGCTGGGTGAGATAAGCCAAAGACAGTTACTGTGTGACCTCACATGTAGAATCTAAAGTAGGTGAACTCGCAGAAGCAGAGAGCAGGAGGGTGGTTGCCGGGGGCGGGGGGGGCACGGAGGGATGGAGGGCTGTCAGTCAAGGGGTTCGAAGTTCATCGCACAAGAGGATGCATGGTGGGGGAGGGGCAGAGGGCAAACAGGAAATCTCTGTACCTTTCCCTCAATTTTCCTGTGAACCTAAAACTGTTCTTTAAAATTGCGCGTTGTAAGTTTTCAGGAGGGGAAAAACTGATTTTTTAAAATTTATCATTTCTACCCATTCCAGAAACCTAGTCATATCAAGTTAAATAAATGATCAGATAAAACCATCATGAACCTTAAATCTCATCATTATTTTTTTATTTGGAGTTTGACTCTAAACGAAAAAGACCATGACCAGATTTTGAAAAGAGGCAACTGAATTTTAAGTCACTGCAGAGTCATATAATTCTCTCTCCCCAATAGAGATGAAGCGTTTTTTTTTAAATGGGCTTCTATTTTTTTAAAAAAGCACTTTCTAACATTGATGCGTGTCACATTCTAAAGCGGATTAAAGAAGGAGAAGGTGAACTCCTCTCTTCCAGACACGTATGCCGTATTCCTGATACAGGCGTGTACGCAGAGAGCGCCGAGTCGGAAGGACCAGAGGGCTTCACGTTCCTGAGGTTACCGGGATTCCGACACCTTCTGAGCTGCCTCATGGAATTAATGAAGGTGAGGTCTGCCCCACCGTGAACTAAGCAGCCTGGTTTATACATGTTTCATGCATTGAAGTTCCAAGTAAACCTGCGTTTGATACAATCGATTCACTGCTTTAAACAAAAAGCAATTTTAAAAAATAGGAAAGGGAGAAATGGAAAACCACTTACAATCTGATCACCTGTTCTGAACCTGAACCACTGACTTCTTTTTTAAGAACAAAGCAAAGGAAGTGTTCGTTTACACAGCGGGCAGGCAATCTTCAGAGCTTGCTCCCCTCGGGAGTGTCACAGGTCGGAAAACACGACGGTCACACATCTTGCTCACACACTTATTGAACGTCTGTGCCAGGGTTACAGTGCCACGAAGACAGGACTGATTCCTACTGCTTATATTTTTAAATAGAGTTGAAAGAAAATCATGAAGAAAGAGGTCTGAAATTAGCAAAAGAAAGAAGAGTTCTTGCGGCAAAACCGCCAACTCTTAGTGACTCTTAGTGTGGGTGTCTGCCGCATGGGGGCTCCAGCAGCCCGACTTCTCTTCTATCTCCCAGAACACCAGCGTTGGGGGGAGATAATCCCTGCGGGGTTTGGAACTGGAGCCGCCCCTGAGCAAGACTGTGAAGCTGCCCTTGTTCATCTTGGCTTGACCGTTAGCTCCTCTTCCTTCTCCCAAAAAGACTTCATCCCATTCCATCCCATTATTCAAGGCCCCCTGTGGGGGATGGCCAGAGGAATTACTCATGTTGTGGTATCTGCTTCTAAGTCTGGGTTTCCTGAAGACTGACAAGCCTCAGACCTCAGGGCAGAAGACCTCTAATGGTTTGATTCCAGACACCACGATTGTCCAGTGGGAGGGATGACTCTGAGCTACGCTCCCCTCTGGAGGTGTGCACTGCCTGCTCTCAGGACAGAATAGAGACGCAGGTCCTCACAGGGACGCAACACAGCACTGCTCGCCAACCTCGTGTGGGTGGGAAGACGCTGTCCCAGGACTCCATCCTTGCTCTGAGTTAAGTTCTCTTATCAGTCCCTCCTCCAGGGCCTTGTCCCCTCTCCAGGCACCCAGAGCCAGTGCCACTTCCTCCCGCACTGAAAGTGATGGAGCTGCCAGCACTGCCCACGGCGTGAATGTGTTTCTCTGTTCCTCAGTGATCAGATTTGACCCTGATTTGATTTCCAGATGCAGAGAACACAGATCAGTCATGGTGCTGGGCTTAATACAATGGAGTCCTTGCCTTCTGTCCACATTCTGACAGGAGAGAGGGAGGGAGAGGAGAAAACATTCAATGTCATTCTGTCCGATCACCCCAGAATGGAGAAGGAGACCTGTATCAGGATCTGCCCGCCTGCCTTTGAAACTACAACCACACCAAGAGACGGATGCCTGCCTTCCCCAGACACATCGTGACGCGGAGATGGATGGATCGCAGCCAGCGGACTCTCCCACAGCATCCTGCGTGCAGCGCCCCCACCCCAGCTCCAGGCCTCTCCCGGTTCCTTTGGCTGAGGGTTTAGCCACCCGTCTCCCTCCTCTCTCTGCCGCTGGTACCTTCCCAGTTTGACCATTGCACCCCAGGATTTCCTGCCTCTCAATTCCTCTGACTCCAGCTGTAGCTGTCCAGTGTGATTCTGAGCTAGTGCCCAGTCTGGTGACCTCAGGGTCTTCCCCTTACACCCCAGGTGCCGCCTCCCCTCCTCTGGCCTGCTTCTGTCCACATTTTAGCCAAACGCCACAGCTCAAGTCGGATCCCACGTCAGGATATACCAGAAAGGTATGAGAGATCAGCAGCGGTCAGCTACGCGGCCCGGCCAACAGTCAGCTGACCTCCAGGTGGGGCCAGAAGAACCACCAGCCTAAGTCAATGACACGCAGAGCTGAGAATGAACACTTGGTAACGATTTTTAGCCAAGTGGGTTTGGGGATGTTACATAAGTGCAGTCAGTATCTGCTAGTCTTCACCCACATTAGGTTCAATGTTTGAATTAAACTCCCTTCTATTCACATGTTCCTTGACATTTTTCTGTTTTTATTACCAGCTTTTGTGCCTTTCATCTCCTTCAGAGCAGTTGGGCCACACCCCCCATGTCTTGCTCTCGTCCCTACTAACCCACGAGCAGTGATGAAAAAGGAGCCTTTCGCAAGGTTTCAAAAGAATAGCTCAAAGGACCATTGGAAGAAACAGCATCAAAGTAAAAACCACTTCCTGGAGATCAGTACATATTTATTGAGCTTCAAAAGTGGGCCCAGGACTTCTGATGGAGAAAACCAGGGTGCAGAAGTACGTAACACAGCCTCTGCTCTCCAAGGAGCCGAAAGTCTGAGGAGCTTCAAGTCTTGACATGAGGGATAAAACTAGTTCACATGAACTGATAGAAAATGGTGATGGGCTGGTTTGCCTGGTGAAGGCAGATGCACCACAGGAGCTTGCAGAGGACATGAGCGTGTGCTAGAATGAGGAGAAAGCCTGTCCTCTGCGCAGAGGTGAGGAGGGAGGCCATTGTTCGGGAAGCGTGGGTGGCAGTGGGGAAATCAAAGCCTTGGAAGCAGGAATGAGTTTCAGGACAGAGACTGTGGCCGGAGCCTGGATCAGTGGGGAGGGTGTCCCACTCAAGTGCGAAGTGCATGTTGGTGAACGTGAGGAAAGACACTCAGTCATGAAGGCTGATTTCCTTGGGGAGTCTGTGGGGCACGCAGGATGTACGTGCCCATGAGAAGGACAGACTGATGGCAAGCCATCAAAATGTTACGCTTTGAACCACTGAACCCGATCCTGGGGATTTTTTCCGAAGCCAATATTTCAAAAGCAGAGGGGACAAGCCATCTACATAAAGACACTTAGTGCCAAGACAGCCTTTAGATACAAAATGCCCACAGACTGATGAGAGACAAAGCATAGCAACTTCAGGTAATATTCCACGGCCTTTTCAAAAAAGATAGATGAAGACTATAGATACACAGCAAGGTGCTTATGGTGTAATATTAAATCGAAACAAACTTAGTTATGTGAGCTCTAAGATTATAGCAAAATTATTCACTCACGTGGGAATATATTAAAAGGATACTTAATTGAAAATAGTTCTATGTGAGTTCGAGACAAATATTTAATCTTTTAAAATGTCATCAAGGTTTAAAGGTGATGTAATCATAGCCATGTTTTTTAAATTTAAAATAATGAGTTATGCAGAGGAGGTGGCATCAGGAAGGTGGAAATTTTTAGCCAAATGGGTCCGGACAGCTCTGCGCTCATACTTCTGAGTGAAACATAATTATACGAGGTTGCGAGTCAACCTTCCCACCTCTGTGCCTTTCCTTTTAATTACTTCTGTCGCCTTTAATTGCTCCCTTTCACATTCCTGAAATAGCCCGATCACACAGGACACCAGAACCATAGCCCTGAGCTGCCATTCCTGCTGGTGAGTTCGGAGGCACGGGTCTCAACCCTTTCCTCTTCTTGTTGGTCTATAGGATTTGATGCAGAGTCTGTCCTCAATTTAGACCACTAGGATTCTCCGTGGCATTCATTCTCCATGGACTTGTGTAAATCTACAGCTTTGTGCCTAAAATACAGACCCACAAGTGCAATGGCTGACGATAACAAATTTCCTCAACAAATTAACGTTAAACAGCAGGCACCACGGACTGGACCCTAAGCTAATTCCTCTCTCAACAAGGCTTTGATCCGTGTAACTTGCAGCCCACCCACCTAACCTGGCCTCCCCATCGGCTTAGAGTCCAGCTGCCGGCCCCGCGTTCTGGTCATTCACAGTCAGGGTCTCCAGCCTCACCAGATACTTGAGCAGAGGTGTTTGCCAGTTAAATGCAAACTGATACCCGTGTGTTATATCTAATTCACCTTTGATGTTTAAGACAGGAGTAACTGTTATCGCGTGTCCCTCTGATCGGCATCTGCAGGCTGATTTCGGGTATCCCCGAGGGCTCTTGTCAGTCCGTGGAGCAGCAGGGGAACCAGACGTCACAATGTGCTCAGAGCAGGAGTCCTCCTCAGACGGTCCTATTAAAGCTGTTATTTTTTTCCATTTTTCTTCTTTTGGT